CTCCGGCGCAGGGGTTTCTGCTCTTTTGGTCGAGATTATAGATTTGTTTGGTTGCAGCCATCTTCTTCTTTTCTAGTGAAGAATTACCACTGCATTCTGGAGGGGTCCTTGGGTTATTGATGCTTGGTTGGTCAGGCCGGGGGTGCATCATGTGTTGTGTCCGATATCGGCTCTCCGCCGATATTTGCTCACCCCGGCCTCTGTGACCAGGCGACGCGCTTTTGAATTGGTCCAGTTTACCTTCTTCCCTGTTCTAGGGTTTAGGTCTCTCAGGTCGTCTGCAGGGTTATTCGGTCCAGCCAGCCTGTTGTCGATCCCCGTGCCCATGACGTTCGTAAGTTTGCTACACTTGCTGCTGTCTTCAGTAACATGTCTTGGGCTGACATTTGGGCATGGGGTTTTTGGCGGCCAAACAGGGTCCTGGCTGTACATTACCTCGTGAATGTTCCTGGGCCCATTCGGGCCTGTGTTGCTTTGGGTCGTCGGTTGCAGCCTGTTGTCTCAACTTCGTGTTGAGGAGCAAGTGCCGACTGCCTCCCGGGTAAGTCCCTCTTGTTTTTGTCATTGTGATGTAGCTCCGGGTAGCCGAAGGGGCTCCCCCCAGAAAACCAGTGTTGAATGTAATGAAATGGCATTTTCTGGGTGAGACCCGGAGGCTTCACGGCAACCCTCCCTCCCCCGGTCGGTGTTTTGACATCCAGTCTCGAACTGACAAGTGGATAGCCAGCACAATGGGTCTGGGGCTTCTCCTTCCTCATCCGAGGAAGCTGCGCAGACAAGCGATGCAACAAGTGTAACGCCATGCGCATTTGCTCGTTTTTCAATTGGGGAGTTCTTTTTACTTGTTAGTTTTCAGTAGTAGTTTTAACCAGGTTAGGAGTTTGTTTTGGGGCGCCTACCTTTCTGGGTGCCCTGCCCAGTTGATGGCAGACATAGAATGCTCCACACACATGTGCATTTCTATAGGTCATTGTTCCTCGTGCCTCTCTGAGGGGGCCAGGTTCTGACTCGTGGTCTCCGGTAGGCCAAGAACTCCGTTCACACTGACTGATGCCAAAGTCTAATACAGTGGTACCTCGGAATGCGATTGTCCCTGTATGCGAGGTTTTCGGAAGGCGAGGTGTATTTACTCCAAAAATTTGTCTCGGAAGGCGATGGTTACTTCGGGAGGCGAGTTTGGACGCAAGCTTGTTGATACGCGTACAGCCGACCTAGCGCGTGGTGGTTCGGCGATCGTCGCCCCTCCGCCCCGCCGCCCCTCAGTTTATTATTGTCTCGCGCTCAGTGACTACCCCCACATCAATTCTTCTCGCGGATTTTCAGTGTTTTGTTGGATTTTTGGTGATTTGTCTATACAATTTGTTATTATATATCTCACCATGGGTCCCAAGAAAGCCAGTGGTAAGGATAAAGGCCAGAAAGCTCATGTGAGGATGACAATAGAGGAGAAACAAGAGATCATTCGGAAGCATGAGAACGGTACACGTGTTGTTGAACTTTGTAGGCAGTACAACAAAGCCACATCAACAATATGCACTATACCTAAGAAGAAAAATAAGATTATGGGTGCTAAAGTGGCAAAAGGAGTAAGAACATTAACGGCACAAAGACCACAAATACTTGAAGAAGTGGAAAAGTTGTTATTAATTTGGATACACGACAAGGAGTTGAGGGGTGATAGTGTTTCGGAGGTCATTATTTGTGAGAAAGCCAGGGTGTTGCACGAAGACCTTCTAAAGAATACCCCTGCAACGAGTGATGCAGATAAGAAAGAGTTTAAGGCAAGCAGGGGCTGGTTTGAAAAATTTAGAAAGAGAAGTGGTATCCATAGTGTTACAAGGCATGGGGTTATGTGATGTGATTATGGAAGGGGACTCCCCTTCCAAACAGTAACTCCTCTCCTCCTCCCCCCTCCTCACCATCTTCCATACGCCTACAGCACTCGACAGCAAGGTAAGTAATAACTGGAACACAGTTTTGTAGGTTTATTTAGATGAATTAGGTAAATTAGGTATAAAAATTTAGTTTGATGTGGGGTTTTTGGGGTAGTCAGGAACGGATTAATTCATTTCCCTTTATTTCTTATGGGGAAATTAACTTCGGAATGCGAGTTTTCGGAAGGCGAGGCGTCTCCAGGAACGGATTAAACTCTTATTCTGAGGTATGCCTGTAATATACATATCAGCCTGGATAGCTCCGGGGAGCCTTTGGTGTTTCATTACATTCAACACTGTTTTTTTAAACTAAGACAAGGGTTCATAAGGGCTGTCAAATGATGTACCTAGTGGCACTGCAAGCAAGAGCTGTAATCTTACCTCAACTCGGTTGAAACCTACTCTTAGACCCATTTATTCATGAGCCTAATTATATGCATCAATACAAATAAACTTTATTAACATTAGGTAACAATCCTATAAGGAACAGGATGAGCTCATAGCAAACTGATGGCAGAGTCTTCATATGATCAGTTGACTTGATCTTTCGTGTATTAACATGTTGAGCATACAAGTTTTTTTTTTTAGATATATACAAGAGTTGTTACATTCTTGTACAGCCACTAGTACGCGTAGCGTTTTGGGCAGGTACCTGGAATACGATCCCCTGCCGCGAAGAATCGTTTTTTCATCCAAGTACACATTTTACTGTTGCGTTAAACAGAGGCTACAGTTAAGGAATTGCGCCCAGTAAATCCTCCCCGGCCAGGATACGAACCCATGACGTAGCGCTCGCGGAACGCCAGGCGAGTGTCTTACCACTACACCACGGAGACTGTAGTTCCAGATGTGAGTCAGCCTAGGAATGCATGATTAATGATGGAGTGATGTTCTCAAGAAAGACAGTTCCAGCATGAGACTGTTAAAGGTTGAGAGTCTAGTGCTACAGGTGGCAACTACTGGTTGTCCACAGAGTTGGGCCAGGTGTGGAACTTTGAGAATGTTGGCCTTGTACATAGTGGTAAGACCACCATATCTAGAGGTTATCTTGAGATGATTTTGGGTCTTTTTTTTTTTTTTAGTGTCCCCACGGCCCGGTCCTTGACCAGGCCTCCATCCCCAGGAAGCACCCCGTGACAGCTGACTAACACCCAGGTACCTATTTTACTGCTAGGTAACAGGGGCATAGGGTGAAAGAAACTCTGCCCATTGTTTCTCGCCGGCACCTGGGATCAAACCCAGGACCACAGGATCACAAGTCCAGCGTGCTGTCAGCTCGGCCGACCATCGTCACAAAGATGTGACCATTCCCACCAGGCTTTTTCAAGACCAGAAATGAGCGTTTTGCACGGCTCTCTACTTTGTTCAAAAGTCTGATGAATGATGGGGGGACAGTCAATCCAGGAAAGGGTTTCATACACTAGATGAGAGCGAACTTGTGCTTCATATAAGGTTTAGCAGTCCTTGTTGTGAAGGTGCGAGATGCATCATAGGGCTGTAAATTTTCTGGCTAACTTTTGAGCTAGGTTAAGTATGTGGCTTTGTTGTCATTGAAGTGTCAAACTTCATTCCCAAAATATCAATTTCATCTGTGAACTTGAGGGATTTCTTGTTTTGTCCACTTTATAACATAAGAATAAAGGGGGACTGCAGAAGGCTTATTGCCCTATATGAGGCAGCTGCTATTTACTTAAGTGCTAACCCCATGTATTTCTTAATACATAGTGAATACTTGATGAATTAATTGATAAACCCTTACAAACACAGTTATACAATACAGTGGACCTCGAGTGACGAGCGCCTCAATTTACGAGCATTTTGAATAACAAGCGTGCTGATTGCTGACAATGTGTGTTGATTGGCGAGCGCTCATTTGATTAACAAGAAAACCACATGGTGCGTTTCAGCTGCTTCTCACACATTCATGGACACCTCCGACGATGCAAATAAATTTTTTGTTTTGTTTAAAGATGCTAATGATGCTGGGATGTAAAGGGGTGACTGCTGTGATATTGCAAAGCATAGACTTTTTTTTTTTTTTTTTTTTTTAGAATAAAAAAAAATTGAAAAAAAGAACCAATGTCAAAAAGGTTCGTTCAGTGTGTGTCAGGTAGGCTGCTCCATATTTCTTGAAAAAAAAAGCAAAAAAAAAAAAAAAAAAAATTGAAAAAACAAATGTCAAAAAGGTTTGTTCGGTGTGTGTCAGGTAGGCTGCTCCATGTTTCTTAACAAATTTTTTTTATTTTTTATTTATTTTAACAAATATGAAAAATGGATAAATGCCATAAAGGTTCATTCAGTGTTTGTCAGGCTGCTCAATTATTAATAAATAAATGAAAAATACAAAACAAATTGAACACATTTGAAACAAAGAAAGATTGTCATAATGGAGCATCCTACCTGACAAACACTGAACAAACCTTTATGGTATTTGTTCGTTTTTCAAATCTGTTCAATTTTTTTTTTTTCGTTTAAGAAACATGGAGCAGCTTACCTGACAAACACTGAATGAACCTTTTGCTATATAAAAAAAAATTGAACAAATTTGAAAAACGGACAAATGTCATAACGGTTCGTTCAGTGTATGTCAGGTAGGATGCTCCATTATTTAAAAAAATTGAATGTCATATTCATGATTTTTTGTGGTGGAACGGATTATTTTTATTTCCAATATGTTAAATGGGAAAATTCGTTTTGAAAGACGAGCATTTCACATGACGAGCTTGGCGCCGGAACGGATTAAATTCGTTATTCGAGGTACCACTGTATTTATAAATACAAAGTACAGTACTCTCATTTCGGTGCTTCACTATAATACAGCTTTGAAAGAGCTCTTGATTTCATTAGTTGGTCATGTTCTTCAGTAGCTTTTCAGCATCTATAATAACCATGCAGGGATCACTAGAAAAATTCTGTGGAACTATTGTTGAGTAATATTGTTCTGACTGGCTGTGCATGATCCTGTCCTACAAGCACAACAAATCATGTCAGAGGGAACAACCAAATGATTCTGCTTGCAAAAGTATTTATCATATTCACTCAAGTCTTAGAAATTTTGATTGGCAGTGGAAGTGTTGGTATATTCTGCTCTACACCTGGTATTCCACTGGTGAGGAGTGTTCCACGAAAAGTATCTGCTCACATGCTGCTCACGGGCCTGCCCATCACAGCGGAAGAAGCTCTACGTGCTGGTCTGGTGTCGAAACTTGTCTCCGAGAATGAACTAGGTACTGAATATAATTCTTGTGTGTTGTAGTCTTAATTTTGTAATATTAAAACTATAACTATTCTGACAATAATATTGATCTAAGCTGTCTCCAATGAAGGAACCAACAAAAACACATGGTCATAAGCACAGTAGAATTTTAATAGTCATGGCCAGTTGATGGGATATCTATACAGTATGTATACAAATTAATGTGTCTGTTTGTTTGAGGTTGGAAACCAGATGCTATGGGCCAGTCTCACCCAGCTTTCCAAGTTGAATCATTGGTTGAGGGAGTGTATGGGAGTGTCACAGGCCAGATGGGGGGTTTGCCCCTCCAGGGCCACACTTTTAAGAAATATCGGCATCTATAGCGACTCTTGCAATTGTCATTGTCTGAAGTAAAATGAACGGGTGCTTCCCATAAAATATTGATGCTTACTCTTGCCATATTCATTCGGGTTACAGCATGACATTTTCTGAGATGGGAAGGGAAGGAGAGGGGGGGGTGAGGTGGGGAGAAAGGTGGAAAGGGAAGAGATTGAGGATGTTTGGGGAAGAAAGGTGGAGAGAGAGGTTGGGAGGCCCAGGTGCAGCCATGTACCCCATCTACTAGCTTACTGGTATAATGTGCAGATTGGTAAAAACTCTATTTTATATCATGGTGTTATAGAACTGGCCAAGAATCCAGACACTAAAGCTTTAATGAAGGTGGTGTATGTTTCTCTGTTATAGACGTTACATTTCATTCTACGCGGTTAAGACTTTGTATGGTTATGGAGTCCTAACCATGGTGGGATAGAAACAAGAAGTTGCTCCTAGATATGGCTACCTTACATATTGCTTCTCAGTGGTTATTATTAATTACCAGCATTTCTTAATACTGTAAATGTAAGATTTAATGAGGTTTTAAGTGCTAAACAAGTACCATATAGAAATTACTAGAAAAATTCTCCACACATCTTTGAAGTCTAAAATTAAAAATTCCTTAGTTTCAATTTTTTATAAAATTACCAATAAAATTTTTTGTATTGTATTTAGTTTAATATTCAGGTGGCCAGCACAGTGCATCAAATGTATTACAATAATTCATTGTGTGTGTCTTAATTCATTACTGTTACAGAGACCGAGACTCTGAGAACAGTTGAAGCAATCACTCATAAAAGTAAAGCAGTGATTGCACTGGGCAAGAAATTCATGTATAAGCAAATGGAGATGGGAATTGAGGAAGCATACAGGTAAGAATATTTGTTTAGAGCACCATCATTATCTCTTGCTCAATAATAACTTTTAACTTCTTATTGCGGCGTCATGAAGTATATGGTATAATCCAAATACAGCCAAAATGGTATAATCTCAAGCTACAGTATGTACCATTTCTGACCAAGTATACAAAAAGATTTGTTAAAAAGGCTGAGGTATTATAAACAACTTGAAATATATTCAACTGATAGTTCAATTGACTATAACTAAGACAAACTGCATAATATACATTTTTTTTTATTGCAGTGAAGGAAGCTGTTTGATGGTAAACAATGTTAATATGAAGGATGGACAAGAGGGGATAGGCAGCTTTATAGAGAAGCGGAAGCCCAGCTGGTTCCATTCAGACGAGTAAAATATTAGTTTGGTTACCCCAAAACATACAGTAATGTTGTCCCAATAACTACAACTACAAAGTTTCTTACGTACATATAAATTGGCAGTCAGTTAACAAAGTCAAATGATTCGAAGATGGTTCTGTATCTTTCAAAATCTTGTAAGTGGCTGTATCTGGTAATTTGTTAACACCTTTCCTGGCCTGGCGGGCCACCCGCATTGAACCACAAGGTAGGCCGGGCATTCTTGAGGTTATCTTGAGATGATTTCGGGGCTTTAGTGTCCCCGCGGCCCGGTCCTCAACCAGGCCTCCTTCCCCAGGAAGCAGCCCGTGACAGCTCACTAACTCCCAGGTACCTATTTACTGCTAGATAACAGAGGCATCAGGGTGAAAGAAACTCTGCCCAATGTTTCTCGCCAGGGCCCGGGATCGAACCCGGGACCACAGGATCATGCGTCCAGTGTTCTGTCTGTTCAGCCGCCCCTATTGCTGGTGAATACTGAACATTGCTGGTGAACACACAACCCAATGTTAAAAACTGTCACTCTCAATGTTTATACTTATTACTAAGAATAAGCAAAAATTAATGGATGACGGTGTTGACGTCATGCCCCGAACTGAGCGTGTTGTTTTGATGACTGTGATAAACATCATCATGACATCAAAGTGTTAAAATTTTATTAGTCCGTTTATTGTTACGTGTTGTATCATGAGCTATCATCCAGCTGTTTTAACCTCTTTATTTGATGTCTTAATAACCATCTATACTGTTGAAGAAGATCTATGAATTTTACTACATGTATATTGTAATTTTATAACTATTATAAACTATTCCTCAAAATTTCCAATTATTTTCTGTCTAAGACAATTGTAGCTTAGTAAAAATGGAATTTTTAATTAGAGGTGACAGAATAAGAACCGAGAGTACAGAAGTAGAGTTAGTGAGTCTTAAGGCAATAAACAGACAATTCTGAACAATACGCAGAGATAATACTGTACTAGTAATGGTTGAAAAGTGCAGAGAATGTTTAAAGTTTTGTAACATGATACATTTTGGGGCGCCTGACAGCTGAGTGGACAGCACTTCGGATTCGTAGTCCTGAGGTTCCGGGTTCAATCCCCAGTGGAGGCGCAGACAAATGGACAAAAGGTTTCTTTCACCCGGATGCCCTGATCACCTAGCAGTAAATAGGTACCTGGAAGTTAGACAGCTGCTACTGGCTGCTTCCTGGGGATGTGTAACCAAAAGGAGGCCTGATCGAGGACCGGGCCGCAGGGACGCTAAGCCCCGAAATCATCTCAAGATAACCTCAAAATGATGCTATAAATAGTTTATATTCTTCCATTTGTATTATTATTCTAATTTTATTATATATATATGCTTTGCCAATATCAGTCCAACTGCTCTAATGATAACTAAGTTTTTTTATGGCTGTAGCATTTGTTCACTGCAGGCCACACTCGCATGATGTTTTAAATCTGATAAATGCAGCTTCTAAATCTAGATTACTGTATATAGTATGTATTTATAATAATTACATGTTATGCTAATATTTAGACTTTCTCTTAGATGAAAAACATAGAACAAATTCACATAAAAAACTTTATTAGAAATTTACAAACATTTATGAATTAAATTTTGTTTAACCACTGAACTGCGCAACGCACCTGGAGGCGCTCGACGGGTGGTGCACAACGCGCCTCCAGGATCTTATAGGTATAGCGTATAATTCAAAACTCCCACGGCTACATGGGGTTCACATCAGCTTCCTCAGGGATCCAGATCTGGAAGCGTATCCGCAAGATAGCGGGTAAGTTCGTTCCCGATGTTTCACCGATCCTTCACCTCCATGGTACTCTTGTGGTGGACCCGTTGCAGGTTGCTACCGAACTGGGTTCCCACTTTTCTTCTGTTAGCTCTGGTCTTCATCTTCCCCAATGTTTCCTTCTTCGTAAACCTGTCCTTGAGTCTCGTGCTTTAGATTTCTGCACTCGTCTTCGACTTCCCTATAACGATCCCTTCTCTCTCTGAACTTCGTTCTGCCCTGGCCCTCTGCGGTTCTTTGGCGGCGGGCTCCGATGGTATTCATTATGAGATGCTTCGCCATCTCCCTCTGCACGTCTCAGTATTTACCGAGTCTGTATAATCGGATCTGGGAGTCGTCGTCAGTCCCTGAGGATTGACTCGATGCCGCTGTCCTCCCTGTTCGCAAACCAGGGTCTCTGGGAACATCCCCTAAGGACTTTCGCCCTATTTCCCTCACAAGTTGTGTCTGCAAACTCTTTGAACGTATGGTTAACGTTTGTCTGATGTGGTTCCTGGTACACCATTACCTCCTCTCCCCGTCTCAATTTGGTTTCCGCAAGTGCCGCAGCACGACAGATGTCCTGGTGAACTTGGAGGTCTATATTCGTACTACTTTTGCTGCAAAGACCTTCGTTGTTGCCGTCCTTTTTGACCTGGAAAAGGCTTACGACACCACTTGGCGATATCATATTCTATCCCAGCTTCATTCTTTTGGCCTTCGTGGTCATCTCCCTCTCTTTCTCTGCAGCTTCCTCTCACGTCGTTCCTTTCGGGTCCGGCTTGGCGCCGCTCTCTCTGCTTCTTTTCAGCAGTATGAAGGTGTGCCCCAAGGTAGTGTTCTGAGCACTACTCTTTTTCTGGTTGCCCTCAATGGTCTTCTTTCCTCTCTTCCTTCAGACGTCTTCTCTGCTCTCTACATCGATGATCTTACCCTTTGCTGTCAGGGTGATGATTCACCTCTCCTTCAGCGCCGGCTTCAACTTGCAATTGATGCCGTGTCGTCTTGGGCCACCGATCATGGCTTCAAGTTCTCTACTACTAAGATTTGTGTCATGACTTTTACTCGGAAACAGGTCGTTCTTTGTCCCTCTTTGTCACTTTATGGTCATCCCCTTGAGTACAAAGATTCCGCGAAGCTTTTGGGGTCATTCCTTGACACTCGTTTGTCTTGGTTTCCCCATATCTCTTACCTCCGTGTTGAGTGCTCTAAGGCCCTTACCCTCCTTCGGGTATTGTCCCATACTTCTTGGGGAGCGGATAGGCGCGCACTCCTTACTTTACATTCCTCTCTCGTCCTGTCTAAGCTCGATTATGGTTGCCCTGCTTACTTGTCTGCTTCTCCTTCTACTTTTTGCCGTCTTGATGCTTTGCACCATATTGGGTTGCGCCTCAGTTCTGGTGCCTTTCGTTCAACTCCTGTCCTCAGCTTGTATGTTGACACTGGCCTCCTGTCTCTCCAGGACCACCGTGATCGCTACTGTCTTCGCTATCTTGCACGGTCCTTGCAACATCCTTCCTCTCGCCTCTGTTGTGCTTTAACTTTTACCCCTTTTACTTTTTTTTTAACTTGGGGAGCTGGTCGGTCGAGTGGACAGCACGCTGGACTTGTGATCCTGTGGTCCTGGGTTCGATCCCAGGTGCCGGCGAGAAACAATGGGCAGAGTTTCTTTCACCCTATGCCCCTATTACCTAGCAGTAAAATAGGTACCTGGGTGTTAGTCAGCTGTCACGGGCTGCTTCCTGGGGTTGGAGGTCTGGTCGAGGACCGGGCCGCGGGGACACTAAAAAGCCCCGAAATCATCTCAAGATAACCTCAAGATAACCCCTCCTGCGGTTCCTGTTCCTCTTCACCACCTCCCTTTTTCTGTCCGGTTATCTCGCTTACAGGATTCTCTTTCCGTTTGTATTTCTAACGTTTCTCTTTGTGTTGTTACTTCTTTGCCCCCATGGAGAGTCTCCCTTCCACAGTTTTATACATCCTTGACCCGCATCACTAAAGCTTTTACCCCTCCTACAGTTCTCAAACGCCATTTCCTTGAGCACTTTTCTTCTCACTCCCGCTCCATTTCTGTATTCACCGATGGGTCTAAGTCTGCGGAGGGCGTTGGCTGCTCTGTTGTTTTTCCTGATCGCACTTATGTGTGTCGCTTACCTCCGGAGACTAGCATCTTTACAGCGGAGCTTTATGCTATTCTCTATGCTCTTCGTCTCCTGCTTTCTCATTATCAGTCTTTCTTTGTAGTTGTTGTTGACTCTCGTAGTGCCCTCATGGCTCTCAGGTCTTTTAATCCGGTTCATCCAGTAGTTGTCAAGATCCAGCATTGGCTGTTTCTTGTTCACAGTAAATTTAAGTCGGTTGAGTTTTGTTGGGTTCCCAGCTATATTGGTGTCTCTTTAAATGAGCATGCGGATGCAGCCGCCAAGGAAGCTGTCCGCTCTTGTCCCATCTCTCGTAAAGGTATTCCATATTCCAACTTTTACCCGGTTATCCATTCCTCCATCCATACCCCTTTGGCAGGCTTCTTGGTCGTATGTTACTGGTAACAAACTATGTACTCTTAAATGTTGTGTTTCCTCGTGACCATCCTCCTACCACCATAACCGGCGATGGGAAACGGCTCTGGTGAGGCTCTGGTGAGGCCATACTCGCTTAACCCATGGTCACTTGATGGAGCGCCGCCCTGCTCCTTATTGTCCTAATTGCATTGTCCCTTTTACAGTCATGCATATCCTTCTTGAATGTCCTGACTTCCAGGACGAGCGTGTGTCTTGCTTTCCGACCGCCCCTCGCGGTCACCTGTCCCTCAATAGAATTCTTGGTGACTCGGATACTTTTGATATCATTCGCCTTATGCGTTTTTGTCCTTGTATTGGCATCCTTGGTGATATTTAGCGCCCTCTGATTATTCCACACATTTGATGGTGCTACATAGCCTTCCCAGTTTGGTGCCTTCTTTTGATAATTACTTAATTCCTCAGGGATCTTGTAAACAGACGCCATTTAAAAAAAAATCATGGGCAAAATTCCCAGGTGTGAGAGCCTCAGTAATGAGTGAGCAACCAAGGCCAGCACACGCAGCATGACCTCACAGCACTACTGTTCAGCTTGTGACCACAGCATTGCCTAATAATGTCAAAATATATATGTAACTGGTATTATTTAGCCATGATAGTATTACAGAAGAGCCTGAGTGTGATAATGACTGTGTAGAATGCTCAAATATCAGTGATTCAAAGCTGTTCACGATGTTCACAGCGCTAGCCACAGCACCACAGCATTATTTTGTCCATCTAGGAATCTTCAAACGACTTCTTATTTTCCTTTACAAAATAAACTTGTGGCCAATTATTCATTTACAGGATTTAGTGACCAGGATTGTGGTGATAATTATCGCTGTGCATAGTATTGTGGGAGGAATTTTGGTGTGGGAGGGAATCGAGGTAGCGTCACTATGTGTGGCAGCCACTCTTGTTTGCTCACCACACTAGCTTAGTGGTTCGCTATGGCGAAGACATATGTACATGGGTATATACAATGTGTGTATATAGTGTAATAACAGCAACAGGAGTATGTTGGGAGGAGCCATTTTGGCGAGGGAGGTGGTGTCACATTTGTAGCGTTGGTGTTAGAGGAGTGAGGGAGGGCTGGCTGGGTGTGGCAGCTTATACTTGCAGAGTTCTGGGTGTGTTGATGATGAATGTATATAGTGTGTGATAGTGAATAGTGTGTAAATATGTTGTAAATATACATAAATGAACATGAAACATTGAATATACTGTATGGGAAATATATGTGGACACATTTGTGATGCATGTAACAGTGTCTTGGGATAGTGCCCAAGCGACACAGGCCCGACTAGGCCCAAGAACGGCAATGAGGTAGTGTTCGCAGCCAGGACCCTGTCTGACCACCAAAAACCCCGCACCCGAATGTCAGCCCAAGACATGTTACCAAAGACAACAGCAAGAGCAGCACACTTGCTAACATCAAGGGCACAGGGGAGAAACTGCAGGATACTATAAACCATTCTAGTTTATAGAATGAATATGTATTCACTTGAACGTGTCCAGTGTAGGATGACAAAGTTAATTCCCCAAATTAGAAATCTTTCATATGAAGAAAGATTAACAAAGCTTAAATTTCATTTACTGGAAAGAGAGAGTTAGGGGTAACATAATAGAGGTTTACAAGTGGATGAATGGACATAACAAAGGGGATATTAATAGGGTATTAAAAGTATCAACACAAGACAGAACACGAAACAATGAGTATAAATTGGATAAGTTTAGATTTAGAAAAGACTCGGGTAAATACTGGTTCAGTAACAGGGTGGTTGATTTGTGGAACCAATTACCGCGTAATGTGGTGGAG